GGAACACAAGCAGGGGGAGTGGGAGAGGGAGAAGCAGCCTTCCCGCTGAGCCGGGAGCCCGATGTGGGGCTCGATCCCAGGACCCTGGGATCATGACCTGAGCCGAAGGCAGTCGCTTAACCAACTGAGCTACCCAGGCGCCCGGGCTGTTAATTTTTAACAAGGAGGCGTGTGGTTTTACAATCTGCCCACGTAATCAATCACAAAGGGCTTCTCTGAGGTGGCATTTGCTGCCTAATAGGAAAGATACCGGATGCTTGTGCCAAGCAGGGGTGCGGGCGAATGTTTAACCACCAGCCCTCGAGGAGGGCTGCGGTAGGGAGGGCCTGGCGGTAGCGTTCACCGAGGCCGGTGGTATAAATACTTGCACCGGGGCGGACTGCAGACCCCCCACGCGATGTCCCACGGGGTGGGGTTGGGTGGAGACGCGCACAGTGGCTCTGGGGGGCTGGCCGACCTGTCCCCTCGCCTCCTGACACCCAGCCCCACGCCCCCACTCCCTGCCACCATGAGGCAGGGCTGGGCACAAGGGACCCCACTTCGGGGGAGCCCCGGGGGGAAGCATCGGGGTGGCGCTGGGCAGGCTCAGCAGGCCGCTCACGCTCCGTGCTGAGTCCACGTCTGCCACATCGTAGCCCGGCGCTCTCGGGCAATCTCTGTGCCTCGTTTTCTCCTCCGGGAAGGGCAGGTAATGACGCCCCCGTGACCACGTTGTCGCGAAGACCTAAAGCCCATCAAGTGCTCGGATTGCACCTGGCACCGAGGGGTGGCAGACATGACCTCGGCCTCGGCAAAGCCGGGGAGTGAGTTTGCAGGGACTGACCGGCCCTTAGAGAGGGCCCGCAGGCGCCCGGTCATGGCTGGCCCTCCCTCAAAGCTGTCGGAGGAGGAGGTTTGCTCTCCTGGGGCAGTCACCCAGGCGCGTCCCGGTTGGTGGACCCAGGCCGGGCCTCAGCGCCCCTCTGCCTCCTCGCAGGCCTGGCCAGCGTGGTGGTGTCCTTCTTCCTGTCCACGTACTACAACATCATCAACGCCTGGGCCTTCTGGTACCTCTTCCACTCCTTCCAGGTGAGCCGGCCCAGGCCGGAGCGGGAGCCACCCCCAGGGGGCAGCCTTGGGAGGGCAGGGGGCTGGGGAGGTGGGGAGGCTGAGCACCCCACGCCAAGCAGAGCCTGGCCTCCATGGGCCCCTGCCATGGTGTGTGTGTGCACGTGCGTGTGGGTCCGTGTTTCTGGGGCGCAGGTTTCTGGCTTTCCCTGGGTTCTCTCTGAAAGATGTGACCCGCCCCTCCCGCCACCCCTCACAAAATATTGAGCGCCAGCCCTGGAGAATGTATGGAGAGAGCCAATGGGGAGGGATTCCCCCAACCCAGCAAGACGGGAGGAGGCCCCTTCCTTCTCCTCTGATTCACCTCCCCACCCCCTCCCTGCTCTGGTCACTTGTCCTTCCAGCTTTCCAACTCCAGGCCGAGCCCCCACTTTTCCCCGCAGACCAGAGTTCTCCTAGAAGGACTAGGGGCTACTCCCAAAGAGAAACATTTTAAACATGTATTTCTGATGATGGCCACAGCTGACGCTCATGGTAGCACGTGGGAGGGGGCTGAAAATCATAGAGAAGAGAGAACCCCGATTCCTCGCTGAGGTGCTCTTTGTCTCCAAGCCAAGAGGAGTCTTCCCTTCTGCCGCCCGTGCGCACTGCTTTTCCTCAGTGCCTGCCCTTCACTCTGGGGGACCCCCTGCCCACTGCCCCCTCTTGCCCTCCAGCAGCCCCCGTCCGTCTCAGACAGAAGGTCACTGGGCAGATGCCCCACCCTTTGCCCCTGAACCAGGCCTTCACAGGACAGACATTGTCCCCAAGTTCCAAAAGCAAGGCAGGGCTGGCCATGCACTGTGGACTAACCCCAACTTGTGGGGCCACTGTCTGGAGTACTGGGGCATAGCCTTGAATCTTTGGCACCCCAAGGAATGCTTGGGTGAATGACTTCTATAATCGGGACTTGGCATTTACACTCGGAAGATACTACATCCACACCCCACTCTGGCTACCCAGTCAGCCCTACCCGGTCACCGCAAATGCCCTGTGTACATCCTTGACAGGAAGGACTCTCTGCTCTGAGCTTAGTTGCAGCCCCTCATCTTCTCCCTGACTCCACAGCCCTGCCTCTCTTCCACCTTATGGGCGGAAACAGTAGCTCCTCTTACTCTCCACTCTGGTGACGATTCCTCCTCCTCTGTGCAGATCTGTCATGTACATCTGGGCAGGTTGTGCACTGCACAACAGCACCCCAACTAAAGAGCTGCCATACACATCACCGGCATTACAGATCTGTATACTCATAAAGACAGTTTTCCAAAGGTGGAAGCAATGTGTCTTGTTCTAACAAAATCAGAATAATTTGACGACCTTCCAAAGATGAAGATAAGGTTGTCTCAAGAAATGAGACCCATTTTTCTAACTCTCAGAAGTTCGAGGACCAGCAATTCCTGAAAATCACTGGACTGTCCATTCATTCCGTCATTCACCCTCAGTCCCTCTGCTCTGGAGCCCTCGTCCGTGTTCACATCAGGATAGGACCAGCCGCAGACACTCACTCACACTTGCTCTGGGCCAAGCATAGACACCGGCAGCCTGGCTTCAGGGGCCCTGCTCCTGTCCATCCCACTACCTGGGCTTCCCAGCCTCCTGTCTGACCTTCCCCGACAGTAGCACCAGGGGCTATTAGAAATGCAGATGCAAAGACCCCAGCCTGACCCAGAGGCTGCATTCCTGCAGACACTGTGGCTGGAGTCCCCTGGGCTCCTCGCTGCAGAGGTTGTGGGTTCTACCGTCATAGATGGTCTGGCCATTGTCCGTTTGGTCCAGTCTCTCGGAGCCATGACAGAGCTAGGTAATCCTCAACAAACACCTGTTTGTTGAAGTGTGGAGCATGTGAAGCCTTCGGGCCGCCTCTCTCCCACCCCGCAAGCCCTTTCTGTGCCCCTGACCAGCCCTCCCGTTCCCTGTCTGCCTTCAGCTATCAGGCCACCTGTCCTTTGGGGACCAGCGCCCTTCTCCCCCACCACCCCCCCCAAGCCCCTTCTCAGGGCCATTCCCATCCTTCCCACTCAGCCCTCCAGCCTCAGCCCTCACCAGTCTGTATAATGCTTCTTTTGATCCCAAAGGATCCCCTGCCGTGGTCCGTGTGCCCGCTGAATGACAACCACACGGGCTATGACGAGGAGTGTGAGAAGGCATCCTCCACGCAGTACTTCTGGTACAGGAAAACCCTCAACATCTCCCCGTCCATCCAGGACAGTGGGCACGTGCAGTGGGAGCCGGCGCTCTGCCTCATCCTGGCCTGGCTGGTGGTGTACCTGTGCATCCTGCGGGGCACCGAGTCCACCGGCAAGGTGGGGACGGCAGAGCCTCTGCCCGGGCCTGGGCAGTGCCAACGGGGGCGGGGGGAAGCTGGGCTGGGGAGGAGGGTACGGACACGAATCACCTAGCAGGCCACCAGACAGTGGTGCTTGAAGTTGCAATCTTGAAAGGAGGACTTTCCCCCTACCTAAAAAGATGAGCATTCCTGCGCCAGCCAGCCCCACATCCATACCACCCAAGGGGCACCAAGCAACTAGGCAGTGAGTTTTCCCTTCCCTGGAGATGTCCCCAAGACGCCCTAGCCACTGGCCCTCCAACTTAGCTGCACATCAGTGCCATCCGGAGAACTTCTAGAACTCTGATGTCTCAGTCCTCCTCGCCCCCGGGAGGTCCCGGAGTCATGAGTGTGGGGAGGAACCTGAGCATCCGGGTGGTAAAAGCGCCCCCAGGTGATTCTAATCTGCAGCCGAGTCTGAGAACCTTTGCTCTCGGCTGCTGTCCATGACCCTGCAGAGCTGTCCGGCCTGACTGATGAACCTTCTCTCCTTAGTGCATCCCCAGGTTTATTCTCCTGCAGGGGGGCGCTGAGATGCTCTTTAATCTGCCCGATGGAGGACGTGTTCCTGCAGGCTCTGCAGCACCTGGCATCTTTCTGGAGCTGCAGCAGATGCCCTCCGCCTCCACCCCAGGGTGCTCCCCGTCCTCATACTCGGGCACTCGTCCTAGCCGATCCCTGTGGGTTGGGCTTGCACCTTGTCTCCGTCTTGCGGGAGCCCTTCATAGTAGAGTTCATTATCCCACTCCCGTGAGGCATTGAGGGGCAGAGGGACCTACCCAAGGGCACCAACCAGTGAGGGCAGAGCCGGGGCAGACCCAGCTTTGCCCCTAAGACTCCCCGTCCTCTTGGTCTGGTGAGCTACCTCTCTTTGCTCTCTCCGTGCCTTTCGTGACATGATTCATCCCAGCTTTTCCCTTCCGAAGGTCCTGAGGCCACCTGTCCTCATCCTCTTGACCACCTGGGTCACCTCCTCCAACCCCACCGTGTTTCTCTTGAGGCAGCAAGACCAGAACTACTCGTGATATTTTAGGTACCCTGTGATGTCCCCAGCACTGTGCCTATCCCATGGCCAAGCTGAGGGACTAGTGAATCTTCTCTGGAAGAACTTAGAGCCTGGCAGCTACTCATTCCATCCCATCTTGAAGTTTGGCTCGTATTTTATGCTCATAAAAAAAATGTTTTTTGCGATTTGTCTTTGCCAGATTATTATGCACGTGACAAAAGATCTGAGGGCAGCATCTGTAAACCTGGAGATTTAATGAGGCCATCTCTTTCGAGATCATTTATAAATGTGCGAAATGAGGTCATGTCATGCCATGAACTCTTATTTATTCTTACTATTTCCTCTGCTCAAGCCACACCCCCTCTCCATGCAGAAATACCCCAACAGCTTCATTTACGGGGGAGTAATTCTGTTAAAAACTGTGTACTATTTCCTGACTTCTTCTCTTGGAATCTGCTCCCCCCCAACACACACTCCAAGAGATGTCATAGATGGGTCAGAAATGGTTTCTCCCGATGGTGTAGGCTGGGTCACATGTCCAGCTTCCCTGATGGGGGAGAAGTGAGCCCAGAGAGCCTTCCAGGAAACTTACTGACCTGAGGGGAAGGAGGGAAGTTCCAAGGGCCTGCCTCAGTATCCCCTAAGTGTCCACCGGTTATGGACATTGGTTATCCCTCTCCAGTTGCCCTCAATGTTCTTAAGCTCATGCCCGATGTCCTTGTCCTCATCTGTCTCCATCTCGCTCCTGGATTATTTTCTTGTCAAGTCAGCTGGCTTGATTACTCGAGTACAACGACCTCAGTGAAGAATCAGTGGTAAGAGACATGCCCCACCTCTGCCTGCTGTCCCCCGGGTGAGAGGGCATGAACCGGTCCTCTGGTGGCCCTGGAAGTTTCCAGGGAGGCCACCAATGATGCCACACCTCAGCAGGAATAGAGGAATAGAGGGCCTAGGGCGATCCAATCCAAGCCCACCTGGACACGGGCCTCCAACCAGATGTCTCACAGGAGGAGCCAACCTTCAAGCCAACAGCTTTCGCCAAGAGAATTTTGCAAAATATTTCTGTGCTTTACATAAAGAGGCTCTGGTGCCCATATGAGTCGATTCAGAGACAAAGCGCCGGGCCCGGATGGACACACGTGCACCTGCAGGTCCCTGTTTGACGGCCGTGTGAGAGTTACCGTTAGTAGAGTTAGCAGGCCCGGAGTGTGGACGGCTGCCAACACCACCACGGAAACCAAGGACAAAACGTCGTCGAGCTTGTGATGCGTGTCAGCAGGAAAAGATTTGGTTGAACAAAAATTCCGTTCATGGGCAGTTTTAAAGACCGTGAGAGGGAAGCCTTTCATAAAAAAAATCAGATCATTGAGTATCTGTCGTATTTCCGATAGGAACATGGTCCCCACACCAACATCATCACTTCTCATTCAGGAGCCCTCATGGCCAGATTTCTCTCAGGTCTCAGTTCTGGAGAGACATGCCCTTGCTCCAAGCCCCTGAGGGGTTTTTTGGTTTTTTGGTGGTGGTGGTGGTGGTGGTTTTGGGGTTTTTTTGGGTTTTTTTTCTTTTTTTTTTGGCCTTCTAAAGACGATATTAAAGGCGTGAGCGACGGTGCTTTCTGCAGGGCTGGGGCCGCTAGGAAGCTCAGAGAGGAAAGAAGCTGCTCCCAAATGGTCTAGCCCTCACACACACATCCTGTGGGCTGCCTTTCCTTTTGGGCTCATCTTACTGGATCACTCACACGGTCAATCATCTAGCAGTTAAAAATAGCGATGTGCTACGTATACTCAAATCCTTTCTGGAATAAGGTCCTGTCGAAGGGAGGGTGGAAGGCAGAGGCCTCGTACCCATTTTCCTCTGGTCCTACTGATGCAGATTTCCTGGTGGTTACAGAGGTGGGCAGAGGCATCCCAGCACCCCAGCTCCCAGCCCAAACTCAGAACCAGTGGTCCTGCCTTTCCAGCCGTCAGTAGCCTGAACGCCTGAGACGGGGGAATGTTCTGTGGGGACCACCCCCTGGGGGTCTGTCCCAGGGACAAAGGGGCCCGGTGGTGGCTGGCGGCAGGTCTCCCGGAGGCTGGCGCTGCCCTCTGATGCCCTCTGGTGCCCGCAGGTGGTATACTTCACCGCGTTGCTGCCTTACTGTGTGCTCCTCGTCTACCTGGTCAGGGGCCTCACGCTCCACGGAGCCACCAACGGCCTGGCGTACATGTTCACGCCCAAGGTACAGGCTGGAGGGAGGGGGACCTGCTGTCTTCCAGGGTGGGTGTAAAGAGGGGGAGACCCAGGGAGGTGGGTGGGAGCCCACCAGGCTGAGGGAGCAGTGTGGGTTACCTATGGGTGCTGGGTCACCTCCTCAGCCAGGCCGGCCCCAAGCCCTGTTCGTTCTGGGGACACGAGTCTTTTGTCTGCCCATCCTCCTCGTCCTCCCTGCACCCCAACCGACTGCTACCCGAGCCCCATGTCTGGCCTCCTGGCCCCCACTCTCACCTCGCACCCTCCTGGCAGCCTGTGGACTGTGATTTATCATCCAGCCACTTCTCTCTCTCCTGCCTGTGCACCTCCACGCACCCCTTTCCCTACAGGGGTGAATCCACACTCCGCAGGGTATCCTGTGATCGCTCCCCTGCACCCCACGGCCAATGCTCATCCATCGGCAGGGTGTGTGGAGATGGTGCGGGGGGCGGGGGGCACTACCAACTTTGGGACAAAACAGGTTCTTCATTTAGCAAATCTGGAAACAAAATGACTGTGGCAGCGCCCCCCCCGCGCCGAGATGCCCCCCCACATTCCAGACGGCCCCCAATGTCTTAAATCACTTCACCCTGTTCTTTTCAATTGCACACGTCTGCGGGGAAAGGCGCTGTGGAGGATGGGACGTGAGCCCATGCTGCGGGCTCCTGGGGAGTGGCCGGGCTCCTGCGGGGGTTGGGGGGGGGCACAGGCACGCTCGGTCCCCCTCGCCGGGCCTCCTGCCCCTGCCAGTGGGTCACAGGGTTGGTTCAGCAGCCCCGTCCCCTGCCTGGCTTTGCAGCTAGAGCAGCTGGCCAACCCCAAGGCCTGGATCAACGCGGCCACGCAGATCTTCTTCTCCCTGGGCCTGGGCTTCGGCAGCCTGATCGCCTTCGCCAGCTACAACGAGCCGTCCAACGACTGCCAGAAGCACGCCATCATTGTGTCCCTCATCAACAGCTCCACCTCCGTCTTCGCCAGCATCGTGACCTTCTCCATCTACGGCTTCAAGGCCACCTTCAACTACGAGAGCTGCTTGAACAAGTAAGCCCGCCCCAGGGGGCCGTCCGTATGAGCCCCAGGCGTCGGGTGGGGGCGCGTCCCCCAGGCTCCCAGGGCCGCCCGGGAAGAGGTGGGCGCCGGGAAGGCGAGGGGCGAGAGGCAGCGGCTGTGCAGCCCTCCATCCGGGGCCCCAACCCGGGCACCCCTGCCTAAGGGCTGAGGGCAGTGCAACAGACAAGCCTTGGTTTCCTCGGTGTCTCCCTGACCTCGGAAGTAACCGAGCGCTCTCTGGGTGAGCCGCGGAGAGCCCAGAATCTGCTCTCTGCCCCCTTCCCCTTCCCCAAATCACGACAAACCTGATCCAGTCCCGTGCGGGAGTCACTAGCCACACGTGGCTACTGACAGATTGAAATGGGGATGGATTCACATAATTAATTTTTAAAAATCTAATTAGTTGATTAAATTTTAATCAGTTGAAGCAGTTGTGATTTTAAGTTAAATTAAGGCAATGAATTAAATTTTTGTTTAAACTGATTTCCATTTACCTGTAAATGAATTCAAGTGGGTTTCTCAGTTAGACTCGCCACATTCAAGCACTCAGCAGCCCCCCGTGGTTAGTGGGGGCCGCACTGGGCAGCACCGACATGGAATATTCCCATCATCACAAACATTCTGTCGGACAGTGCTGGCCCAGATGTGAACGTGGCCGAGCTGGGTGGGTTGGTTTCTCATCTCCGGTCCTACTTGAGGCTCCTGCAAAGCCATTCAAACCCCCCCGCCGCCGGCAAACTTTAAAAGGTCACCGGTCACTGATCAACAGAGTCCCTTTGTTGGCGAGACCTTGCCCGATCAGAGGGGAGGGACCTCCAGCATCCAGGCTTCAAGAGGGTTCCGTGACCGTGGCCTTTCTAATCATCGAAGGTCCATCTGGTGCTCTGCTCTGCAGGGTGATTCTGCTGCTGACCAATTCTTTTGACCTGGAAGATGGCTTTCTGACAGCCAGCAACCTGGACCAGGTGAAGGGCTACCTAGAGTCCACCTTCCCCGACAAATACAGCGAGGTGCTCCCGCAAATGAAAAACTGCAGCTTGCAGTCAGAGCTGGCCACGGTAAGGCGCGGGCCAGGTCTCCGCTTGCTTCCCTCCGCCGAGAGCTGCCCATAGGGACAAGTGCAAGCCGAGGAGGATTCTGCAGTCAGCCTTAGTGTTCAACCTGTGTGTCATTTCCCAGAGGTAGTGACACCTTCCTTGCAAATGCCTAGGCCGCTGTGAGTGTGCGGGGGTGGGGGGACCTGCCGGTTCATACCCAACGGGAGGCCTTTGTCATTAACTTTTGTCCTCCCGAGTCCATCTGTGGGTGCCACATTTGAGGATCCCGGGGCCTGGAGCTGTTTCTGTCACGGTCATGCTGGGATCTCTGCTGTTTGGAACTGATGTAGCAAATTTCCCCTCCCAAATTTGTCCCATGCCTATTTAACTCAACCAAATCTGCGGTTCAACAGGATCTTGACTTCCCACCCAAACAGAACAAAGACCGTAGTGCCCGTTCATCTCGTCCCTCTAGTTTTAAATACCATCTCTGTCCGCTTCTGTCTTTTCCTCAGCGTTTGTCTTTCCCCGAGTGTTTGCCTTTTTACCTGTTCACCATTTCCTCTGGCACCCCAGACATCTCCCAGGATTGTTTTCTCCCTTAAAATGCATTCCTTTAGAGCAGCTTGTTTTTTTACCCCTTCAATTTTAATCCCAGTATAATTACAGGGCTATATTCATTTCAGGTGTACAGCACCTGTTTCTTGATGATAAATTTCCTTGGGTATTGTCTGTATGCAATGTCGATATTCAGTCCACTCTTTTGAAAGACTGTCTCCCCTGCGTGGAACATTCCAGGTTAACAGTTATCATCTCTCGCCACTTCAGAGATGTTTGCCATGGGATTCTGGCTTCCACTGTTGCTCCTGAAATGTCCTGTCCTTCTTGGAAGCACTCAGCTGCCCAGTGCTTTTGCTCTGATTTCTCTGTGCCCTTCCTGTGGACTCTGGCCTCGGCCACCTAAGCGCGGATGTATTTTTTATTTATCCAATGTGGCTTGGGTGAGGTTGGGCTTCCTGGATCCACGGATCCATGTGTCTTTATCAGTTCTGGAAAATTCATACCCGTTACCTCTTAATCATTGCCTGTACTTCCGTGTCTCTGCTCAGAATTCCTTCTAGACCTTCGCATCCCACCCTGCGTGTCCGCTCATTTCTCTTTTATCTTTTCCCAACTTCTTATCTTTTTTTTTCTTCATCATGGATCCATTCCTGGGATATGCCTACCAGTTCCCTAATTTTCTCTTCAGCTGCAAGTGGCATTTAGCTGTTGATGGAGCCTTTCGGTTCAATAATTTGTTAGACACGATTTTTTTCCCTCAAATTTGCTTTTCATGCTAATAGTTTCTTGTGATATGTTTATCTTGGCAATTTTATCTTCTGCTTCTTGGAAAAGGTCGTACATAGCTGTTTTAGGGGTGGCCTTGAGCAGGAGAGTGACGGCAGTCTGTTTTGTCATTGGCACTGTCGAGAATTTGTTGGCTCATAGTAACGATAAAAAGCAAGCCAACTTTAGCAGGTTTCATTACTGTTTGTAAATTCTCTGCAAAGGATCACCCCCTGTTGTCTGCACCCAGAGTGGGCGAATCCCACTAAGCTCATTGGTCTGCCATGAATCTGCCAATCTAACCAACATCTGCCATCTTGGGGAATTATTCCCACTGATTCTTTCCTCAGTAGCTTGTCTTCTTGTGGGTTTATAAATCTGTTCGCAGGCTCGCTGCTTGATCCTCCCTGGTGGTCCCTCAGGTCTAAATTGGGGGAGCTTGACCCAAGAGAGGGCTTGCTTCTGCGGCTGGTAGCCAGGGCCCCCCCCACACACACACACAAACCTAAGACCCCTTTCAACCCTCTTGGAGGGTTTGTTTTAAAGCAGGAGCTCCAGGCTCTGTCTCCACAGGTCGAATCCCCACCACAGTGGTATCCTCCGTGGATCTGGCCACAGAGCAACCCCGCCCTCCCAGCTCCCGTGGCTCCACTCGCCCACCTTGCCTCCCAGCCACTGAGGCCTCAGAACGCCTCGGTGGTCATGATACTGGAAGCAGAAATTATCCAAACCTTGTTTGACTGTATTTCGTCCAGAGTGGATGTGAGTTGGCGCCAGAGAGGGGAGCTCAGTGTTCCGAAATGACTGAAATGTCTCCTCACACTTTGCAAATACGGGCTCCTGACAGCTCACACTTCTACCGAGCCCCGCTAAGCCCGAGGGGCCAGTGTGCGGATGGCAAACCCAACCTCACCATGTGGCTTCTCCTGGCCACCTCCCAGGTCCCCCAAGTTGCTTCGCATCGGGTGTGCTTAAGGAGTCCCAAGCCCCTTGGGGGTGTAACTGCTGTCTTCTTACCACGGGCAGGCGGTCCAGGGCACTGGCCTGTCTTTCATCGTCTATACCGAGGCCATTAAAAACATGGAGGTGTCCCAGCTGTGGTCGGTGCTCTACTTCTTCATGCTGCTGATGCTGGGCGTTGGGAGCATGCTGGGGAACACGGCGGCCATCCTCACGCCTCTGACCGACAACAAGGTCATCTCCAGCCACCTGCCCAAGGAGGCCATCTCCGGTGAGTGGGCCCATCCGTGGGGGAGGTGGGGCTCAGGGAGGGCCGGGCCTGGGGCGCAAGCAGATGGAGGAGCTGTGTGCTCATCAAAGTGGCCACCTTCCGGCGGGCCTGCCGTGGTCTCTCCTCCTCGGGGCCATCTGGGACTGGTGCGCATGACTCTCCCGTGCCTCTGGTTCTCCATCACGGGGAAGCTCGGTGGCCACCCCAGCCTTGGGGAAGGCCAAACCCACCAACATGGGGCTCAAAACTCTTCAGGCTAGGAGGGAATCTGCCTTGGTCTTGGTTTCAAATGAAGTATAACAATTATAACATGTACATTTCTTAAACACAATCTCAATGATTTTTACATGTTTCCACCCAAGTAACCACCACCTAAGTCAAGATGCAGAGCATTTCCAGCACCCCCAAGAGCCCCTCCCCACCCCTTCCCAGTCAGTATGCCCCCAACCCCAGAAGCCACCTCTCTCTGACTGCTACCACTTTAGGATTGTTTTTCCCACTCTTGAACTTCATATAAATGAAATCACACCGTCTGTGCTCTTTGTGTCTCTTGTCTTCACCAAACTCTGGGCGGTCCACCCTGTTAGTGCCAGTGGCCGTCAGTCTGCCCCTTTCCCGCCTGCGTGATAAAAGATCCCCTATAAGACCATCCACGCTGGGGGGCATTTGGGTTGCTAGGGAAGGAACCTGTATTTCTAACCACCCCCTCCCTGCTTCATACCACCATCCATCTGCTCCATCATCCCACCTGGCAGTGTCTGGGGGACCCAGTGGCCCCGACCCCTGCCCACGATGACGCCATCCCACCACATCTACAACGCCCCTTCTCCCAGCCTGACTCCCACCCAGCTCCCATCCCGTCCCCTTAAAGTCCTGACCAGCCAGGTAGAGCTGCTCACCCTTTGTCAGAGCCCTCGAGCACTGAGCATCGCTCCTCGCACCTGGTCTCTGTAGCTGCCTGATGTGTGCCGTTAGCCCCCAGCCAGCACGTAGCCCCTTCTCCTGGTGTGTCCCCGCAAGATGGCACAGGGGCTTGGTGACTGGTGGGACGTGGTGTGGCAGTGGGAGGGGCAGGTGGGAGCTTGAGAGTCAAATACTTCGTGGGGCCCCTGGGGGAGTCAGCCAGTGGAGACTGGGACAGGAACCTGGGCTCTGGAGGCAGAAGGGCCTCCATCTGAATCCCGACTCCACCACTTCCATGCTGTGGGATGTTGGGCAAGTTCCCCTCTGAGCCTTGGGTTTCCCGTCTGTGAAAGGGGGCTCCCCAGGCTATTGGAGCCCATGCATGACACATGCCAGGGGCATGTATAGTGGGAGCTGGGTGAACATTCCTGTCTTCCCCTCCCCTCCCTGCTCCCTCTTCCGGCCAGACGTGAGTCCTCTCTAGGAGGTCCTGAGATGGGTGCCCCGAATCACCTCCCGTAAGCTCAGAGGCTGAGTTGTTGGGGTAAACAGCATCACCAGACCCACCAGCAGGGTGGGACCCCCACCTTCCCCCAGACAGCAGTGCCCAAAACTTCCTCTTTTCCACTGAGCTTGACGCCCCCCGCAGGACAGCTCCCTGAATTGACAGCAGTGACTTGTGCAGACACACACTCCTCGGGACACCATTGTTGCCCCCCGAACACACACACCTGTGGCATACCCAGACAGGCCAGTCCATGGCCGAGTCCCCTTGGGGTCTGTGGCTCCGCTGGGGCACAGGAAACTGGCTGAACGGGTGGGCGTCTCAGGCAGGTGAGCGTGTGGTCTTGTGGCCCCAGGTCTGGTGTGCCTCGTCAACTGTGTCATCGGCCTGGTGTTCACCACGGAGGCCGGCAACTACTGGTTCGACATATTCAATGACTACGCTGCCACACTGTCCCTGCTGCTCATCGTCCTGGTGGAGACCATCGCCGTGTGTTACGTGTACGGGCTGCGGAGGTGAGGAGGCCCCGCCCCCGACATCTGCCGGGGGGACGTGCCCACGAAGGCCGCGCCCACAAAGGCCACGCCCACAAAGAAAGCGGCCCCTTCGTACGTGCACTTCACTTTTCTCTTCCAGCTTGGCATTGCTTTTCCCTTTGCCCAGCTAATTCTCTGCCTCATTCCCACCTTCAACCAGTATCTCCTCTCTCCGCTTTCTGTATTTTTACTTTTTATTATAGGATGTTCGCCTGTTGACCCTGCAGCGGCTCACTGGGGCAGGGAACCGTGCCTCCAGGCACTAGACACTCTGAGCATCGGTAAACATCAGTATTTTTCCAACATGCTGACCAAAGTCCAGTTGATACACCCTAGAAAATGTGGCAAATTCAGGATGTCAGGTTCCCGGTCCCAGGGCATGATACAGCACTGGAATGTTTTAAATCTCCCCAGATAATGCAATGTGCCGCTGGGCTGAGACCAGGGGTCTAGAGCGGCTTCCAAACTCGAGCGTGGAGGGCCAGTTCTGACACTGACCGCTGGGCCTCACCCCAGGGCTCCGCTTACGTAGGTGCCGAGAGCAGCCCAAGGACTCACGTTGCTAAGGAGTTGCCGGGGGCGTCAGGGGAGCTCAGTCGGAGAACCACTGGTCTAGAGAGCCTTGCTGCCCCAGGTGTGGTCCCAGAGTAGCAACCTCAGCATCATCAGGGAACTTGTTGAAAATGCGGGGGGATCTCGGGCCGCCCAGGCCCACTGACTCAGATCCTACCTTCTAACATGGGAGGGGCCCGAGGCACATTACACTGTGGGAAGCACTGCTCAGAGGTGAGCCGATTACAAAGGTGTGTCACGTGCTGCCCCCCACCCTCAGTCTTTTCTGATCCTCCCAATGGTTTGGAGGGTGGTGGGAATGGGGAGGACCAGCCATAACTCTAGAAACCAGACCCGTTGAGCCACGTTTCCCACCGTGTCCCTGGAAGCTCTGGGGTCTGCTGTCACACCAAGGGACTTCCGTGATCAAGTAATTTCGGGACATCACAAGTTAAACAAAACCAACATTTCTTTTCTATAGGACTTCTTGGAGCCTTGAAGACCATTGTGAATCTCAAAAAGGGGGTATAATGTGTAGCACTTCCAAAACGTTTTTGGTCAAGAAAGACTTTTGTATCCATCCCTCCCATTTGCTACCTATCGAGGACATTGGGGTTAGAGTGACTCATTCTCCCTGTTTTCTTGGGACCGAGGGGTTTCCCGGGATGTGGGACATTCGGTGTTAACACTGGGGACGTCCTGGGTTCACCGGGACAAGTTGGTCACCTAGGAAATGGCAGTCTAGAGGGAGAAACAGATCGGTCCCCTGCGACGGTAGGTGTTTCCCAGGAAGAGAGAAGGTTGAGGAAAGAGGACCAGAAGGCAGGGCCCAGGGGAGGTGCTGGAGAAGGGACACAAGTCCATGCAAAGGGCGGGGTGCTAAGTGGTGAGGGCCGGAGGGAGGAAGAAACTGAAGGTGTCTGGCAGAGTTTGTAATGTAAGGGGCAGGATCCGGGAATGGCCGGGAGAGGGCAGTCCCTCTGCTGGCCCAGGGGACAGCACCATCTAGTGACCGCCGAGCAACAGTGCCATGTCACCCTTTCTTCGGCAGCCAGCTAGCTCTCCCCGCCTTTCTCTATCCAGGAAAGGGGGGGGGATGGGAGGGGACAGGGGATGTGGAAGGACAAAAGAACGTGTCATCTTGAAAATCCCAGGTATTCACATTAAGCACAGGAGCCTTCATGGCCTGGAACCCAGGGTCCAGCCAGGTCGGCAGCAGCTGGAGGTCTGCAGGCTTCTGTGGGACAAGCCCCAGGCCCAAGTGTGGCAAGTGGCCATGGCTGCAGCTGGTGACCATCTCGCCTCAGCCCACCCACGCCGCCCCTCTCCATGCCTACTTCTCCCACCATGGAAAGCGGCCCCCTGGTTTGCTGCCCTGCTCTGTGGCAGCCTCAGCTCCTCTCCCCTCCCCACCCCACACACCCTCTCCCCAGAAGGCATCAGAGAGGGACCCCGGAGAGGTGATCATCGGTGGTGCACAGAACAGAATCTTCCTAAGCAAAGGGATAAAGGGATATGAAAGCCGGAGCCCCCCTCGCCCCAACAGCATGGGTAATCCAGACTTTCTCCCCATTTTCCAAATAGGTTTGAAGGTGACCTTAAGGCCATGACTGGCCGCACCCTGAACTGGTACTGGAAGGCCATGTGGGCCGGCGTGAGCCCACTGCTCATCATCAGCCTTTTTGTCTTCTACCTGAGTGACTACATCCTCACGGGGACCCTGCAGTACCAAGCCTGGGACGCCTCCCAGGTACCCTCCGTCTCAGGGCCCCCAGGCTCGCTCTCAAGCCCCGGCTTTACGTTTGCTGAAACCAAAGACCCATTTCCCTGGTGTGGGCAGGTTATTTGTCATGACGCGGAAACATCACCCAGGTACTGAAAAACACTCAGCCCAGGGCAGCAGAAGTGAGCTTTGGTTTCTCGACAGGTGCTCCAGTAAAGTGAGTAGGATTCCCTCCAGAACTTCCCAGGGGGCCTTTCCTGGAGGCCGGGAGAAGGTCTCCTGCACGGCGCTCATTCCCAGCCCGGGCAGCACTCTCTTCCTCCTCCTCCTCCACCCCAGGCCCTCCGACCTCTGTCCATTAGGCCTCCTCGGGGAAGGCAGAGCGAGCCTGGAGGGCCAGGCCCCTGAGCCCTGGAAGGGACACCGCAGGGGCCTGAGGGGACCCTGTTAGCAGCGGGGTGCCGCATCCCGGCAGGGCCTGGCTCCGCGTGCGGCTGGGACAGAACAGGCTCGCTCAGGGCAGAAGGACAGTGTGTCAGAGTCTGAACAGCCAGCCCGGGCTGTCCCTACACAGACGCGCTTTCATAGCGAACATGACCGACGGCGGCCGGAGGCGCCCCACCCCTGGCTCCAGCCGCTGGGCCTCTCCAGCCGTGGCCGGGGGACCGGGGAGTCTTCCCCAATCCATAGCAGCCTGATACTTTCGTAAGATGCACGGACAGGGAACCACTTGAAAAGTGAAATGAGAAAAAGATCTATAGAATACAAGCTCCAATTACTTATTATATTCAACAGACAGAAGACGAAGCTGTCGAATTGCTACAACAGCTTCTAAATGTCACCCCTCCCCTCCCCAGTTTCTGCACTGGTCAGGACAACAAAAAAAGGGAAGAGATGAGCAACCCAAAGTCTGTGGGCTGGCTTCCCACACCACACTCTAAGCAGGGTTTTGGTTTACAAACCACACTTGGTTGACAGCAAACACCCGCTTCCCCTGGACGTAGCTGTTCCGTGGCTCCCTCATGGAAAGGTGGCCTTTGTGGGCTTTTTGGCCTCATTTCTCATCAGCTTTAATGCGTGTGCATTCAGGGAAACATCCAGCAACTAAATCCAGAGGTTCATCAAGCCTTCTCCTGACTAGGGCTGTGCATTCAAGATGGTAGCCAACAGCCACATGGGGCTATTCACATTTAAATTCATTACAACTCAATCAAAATTAAAATTCAGTTCTTCACTCTCACTGGCCACATTTCAAGTGCTCAGTAGCGCCCTGTGGCTGCGGCTGCCATGTTGGACAACACCGATACGGAACATTCCTACCCTCCCAGAAGGTTCTGTTGGACAGCACTGGGCTGAGGTTAGCCCCCTTCCATGTAGGGGCCCCGAACGGCACCTCAAGTGGAAGGCCCTTGATGATTCTTGTGGTGACTCTTCAAGGGTAGTGGTATGCACGATGGGTGAGGTGTACGGAAGAGAGCAAAGGCAAGGGAGACCAGTCTGCCCAGCACACTTGCTAGTGAGCTGCAGAACCAGGTGGCCCCAGACACCCCCACCGCACACAGCCTCTCCGCCAAGCCACGCTCGGCCTGCAGCGGCCCCTCCTGCTGACCCTCAGTTTCTCCTTTCAGGGTCAGCTTGTGACCAAGGATTACCCCCCATACGCCCTGGCCGTCATCGGGCTGCTGGTGGCCTCCTCCATCATGTGCATCCCCCTGGTGGCCCTGGGGACTTTCATCGTGCGCTGCCTCAAGAGGGGAGACACGCCCCCCGTGGCCTGAGGACTGGGCTTCCGAGACCGTGGTTGGCTGCTCCCTGCCCTGCAGCTACGATTTACAGGCGGGATCTCCTTTGGCTGCTTGTAAAAATATTTGCTCCAGAAATACTCAGCCTGTCGTCTTCCTGAGTCCATCAAGAATTGTGGAGGAAGACGGCTCCCTCGGGAGGACCCACACCCCGCCCGCGGAGTGGGCCCTGCTCCCCTCTGCGTCCCAAGGTCGCACCATGCTGCCTCCTTGTCACTAGAAATGCGGGCTTTTCAAGGCCAGTCTTGAAGACAATCACTTTCTTGACTCTAGGGAAGTCCTAGGATTAGGACACACTGTGAGCTGAAATTTGACTATAATTTTTATGGAATAAAATTTAAGTGGTTTTTTCCTTCTGAAGAAATCCCAAAATATCAGAGGGCAATTGTTTTTTTAGATCGGTTGGAAAAGAGGTTTTTTTCAAGTGCCTGAGATGACAGATCTGAATGTCACTGGTGTGAAATCAAGTCTCTTTTTTTTTTTTTTTTGAGTCACAGTGAATACGCAACTGCTGTGTTCGTCACTAACAAGACTGGCCACGCAGCAGGGAGGCCTTTGTTGGGGTCCACAAAGGGGGTCACTTCTGTGATCTGACATCTCTTACAGCGGGTCCAGGCCCGGTCCTCCCAATTACAGTACGCAACCCCAAACCACCTGAGCAGTCCGTGCAGGCGGCCCCTATCCCGGGGTGTTGGAAAAGATGCCAGAGCCACGTCCAGGGTGAAAGTAAATCCAACTTTCCCATAGAAGGTGTTATATTTGGACATGGTGGCCAACTCATTAGAGCAAAGACCATGAACATCACTTACAATCCATTTTAAATTATTTGTACATAAGTTTTCTAGAGTGTATGTAACTCCAACAGAGCCTCTTGTAACTGAAGACACCATATTTATGATACAGCATCAGCGCACCACGTCTCCTGTCTTTTTTTAACCACAATAAGTAGGTCAAGGTTATCCCTAAGCGGATCCGGCCCCTTCCTACCCTAACATTCCATGCTTCCCCAACATACAGGATTCAGGGACGTTTCTTTGGGTAGATTCGTACAAACATCTTCGAAGACACTTAAACACTCATGTGGGACATCAGTTGAAGGTTTTTTGTTTTTTCTCTACTTCGTTTTCATGATCTAAGTGTCCTATATAACAAAAATAGGCATTAGGAAGGACTTCTGCCTTTTTTATAGCCATCTTACCAATATTTCGCAGCTTCACCTCACGGCCAGTTATAAAAAGGTCGCCTGCCTTTAAAATGTGTGCACCAGGGCGCCTGGGTGGCTCAGTCGGTTAAGCGACTGCCTTCGGCTCAGGTCATGATCCTGGAGTCCTGGGATCGAGTCCCGCATCGGGCTCCCTG